GCACAAAAGAATGTTTGAAATCTGTTCAGTTTACAGTTTGGGACCTGAACCTTCTGCCTGATGGCAATCAACTCAAACTGACTGTGAAGAAATGGGTTGGGTCATTGATCACCTTCCTGCTGAGCCTTCCTCACAGTCTCCTCAAAACATTTGCTGAAGTGAGCTCGGGGCCACACACCATTATTTACCTGCTCTTTTAGTCAAGGTAAAATCTGTGCTTTAAGTTTGACTGACAGGTCACCAAAACCATGTTGACATGTCATAGCATAAGATAGATTCTATGCATGTTTTATAAAACAACAGCATTACATTGGTGTCAATGCAGTAAGTCCAGGACTAAACCAGGACTAAACCAGGACTAAACCAGGACTAAACCAGTTCTAAACAGGTCACATGTCTTCCACAGTTTGTCGAGGATCCCTGGGTGTGGATCTGTTTGAATGGAGTCAGTCTGTGCAGCTTCCTGTTGACCTGCAGCCTCAGGGGAACTTCTTGTCCGTGCGGTGGACTCGGGGGTCAGAGGAGGTCCACCTGAAGAGGCAGGACGGTGATGACCTTCGCAGTCAGAGCCCAAGGTTCAAAGGACGAACTCAGATGAAGCCAGACGCCCTGCAGACCGGAGACTTGACTCTGGTGCTCACCAACCCCACCAGCGACGACGTGGGACGCTACACCTGTGTGGCCAGACTGAACAGCGCTGAGGTGCAGTCTGTCACTGTGGATCTCAGATTCAAAGGTCAGTGTCTCTCCAGTGAGGGGTCATCTCCATGGTAACCCATGAACAGCCATGTTGGGACTGGAACACTTTGAGAATTAAACTTTGTTTGACTTTATCTGACGTGTGACTGACGACTCTCCTCACGTCTGTTTCCTCTCCTCAGGTGAGGAGAAATCTGTGGAAGTCAATACGACCGTCTCTCTGCCGTTCCACATGGGAACCTTACGGAGTGGAGTGCGTGTGCGGTGGACGTGGGAGCCAGAGGAGCCAGAGGGGTCACAGGGGTCACAGGGGTCACAGGAGGTGCACCTGCGTGTGGGCGACAGAGACGACCTGAGCAATCAGAGCCCTCATTTCAAAGGACGCACTCAGATGAAACCAGACGCCCTGAAGACTGGAGACTTGAGTCTGGTGCTGAACAACACCAGCGACACCGACACTGGGACCTACACATGTTCGGTGACAGAAGAACAACATCGAACTCGGACGCACAACAGTGAAACTGAACATCAAAGGTATTTAAACCTCCCATAATCCTCTGCTCTGGTCTACTGTAGTTTCCTCGTCACACACAGCTGCACTTGTGTTTAATTTCATTCACATTGTTAGAGCCATAATAAAATTTATTTTAAAAAGGTATTTTTATTTTCCATTAATTCATATTTTATCATATTTTATTCTTCCTTAAAACCAATTATAAAATTATTATTCTTAAATTTATGTAAATGTTAAAATGAAGTATTTTCAGTCCCAACTTAAGTTATTTCAGTCAATTTAAGTCTTTTGTTTGTAGTGTAAGAGGGCGGGTCCGAGGGCAAAAAGTAGGTCAAATAATCAGGTCAACCAGGGCGACAGGTGTGGAGGGCGACCGACACGGTTTTTGACTGCACACAAACGCATGTTGAATATGCCAAACGCACTACAGACTACGTGAGTGAGAAGCGGACGCCCTAAGCATGGATATTTACATGTCTTACAGCTTATGTTAAATGAGAAGCCATAACACACATGTTTAACACTCAAACTGAAAACACTCTGTTCCACCTTATGACATCATCATGTGGTGATACAGGAAGTGCTCCACTGTGATTTTAAACTCCACACACCTGCATTAGAATCATCTGGATCAGTTCAGTCCTGGACTTGTCGATTTCGACTGAACTAAAGGCTTTTACGCTTTGGTGTTTTGGAACTGATGTGAATAAAACAAACACAACTGCAGCTCTGTGTGACCAGGAACATTAGAACATTAGAACATTAGAACATTAGAACATTAGAACATGACTTAAAGCCTCACACGGGTCAGCTTTGTATAATTTAGGATCTTTAAAGTCTTTTTTTTTCTTGTCTTCAAATATGAGAAACAGAAGTGGTGTGAACAGTTCACACAGGTCCAGAGTTCTTCCTCTTTGACCTTCTGCATTTAGAACATCCTCATTATTCACCAAGACGACTTTAGAAACACTTTTCACACTTCTCCACAGCGACAGAGTTTTACTGTCACTCTGAAACTAACAACAAACTAGCATGCTAACACATACTTCCTTATTCACGGGCAGTAAAACTCTGTTCTGTGTAATAATAATAATAATAATAATAATAATAATAATAATACATTTATTTATATTGCACTTTACATAAAATAATCTCAAAGTGCTACAGGTAAAAACAATGAGTAAAAAGGTGCATCAGAAACAGTGGATCAAGCTAAAACCAGTGCAGGAATTTATAAGATAAAACAAGAATAAAATACAATTAACAAAAGGCTTTAGTAAAAAGGTATGTTTTAAGATTTTGTTTAAAAACAGAACTAGATTGTGGGGCTCTCAAGGTGGTCGGGGAGAGCATTCCAAAGCCTTGGAGCAGCAGAGGAGAAGGCCCGATCTCCCATGGTGCAAAGTTTGGTTCTGGGGGTTTGGAGAGTGTTGGTGGCTGCAGAGAGGAGCGGAGGGTGCGTGAGGGAGGGGGGGAGGGAGGGTGAGGGGGTCTGGGGAGTGAGGAGTTCCTTAAGGTACTGGGGGAGTGACCGTGGATGCATTGGTGAGTGAGGAGGGAGACCTTGTACTCAATCCTGAGTGTGATCGGGAGCCAGTGAAGGGATTTCAGGATGGGGGTGATGTGGTCAAATGTTCGCCCCCTCATCAGGATCCTGGCAGCGCAGTTCTGGACGTCCTGCAGTCTCTGGATGCTCCTGCCAGGTATCCCGATGAGGAGTGCGTTACAGTAGTCCAGCCTGGAGGAGATAAAGGCGTGACGAGCTTCTCTGCATCTGCCAAGGAGAGAGTTGGACGGAGTTTTGCAATGTTTTCTGAGGTGGTAGAATGACGTCCTACAGAGGTGTTTGATGTGGGTGTCAAAGGTGAGTTGTGAGTCCATTTTGACACCCAGGTTGGTGACAGATGCAGAGAAGGGAATCGTTTGACCATAAAATGAGATACTGGTGATGTGGAAGAGCGGAGCTGATGAATTGTGCCAACCAGGATGGCTTTCTGTTTTGGAACTATTGAGTTGAAGGAAATTTAGCTTCATCCACGCCTCTATCTCCTCCAGGCAGGTGGTCCAGTGTGGATGATAGTCAGGGAGTGGAAGAAGTGGGGGTGGTCCGTAAAATAGAGCTGTGTGTCATCTGCGTAGCAATGGTAGGATCTATACCATGCTTGGTGATGAGATTGCCCAGGGGGAGTAGGTAAAGAGTGAAGAGGGGGGACCTAACACCGAACCCTGAGGAACACCACAGGTGACATTGTGGTGCGTGACTTTGCCTTTCCTAGGGCAACGTGCTCGGTACGGTTAGTCAGGTAGGAGGTGAACCATTTGAGTGCTTGTTCTGAAAGTCCAATAGTGTATGCAGGCGATGGAGGAGAATACTGTGGTCAACCGTATCAAAGCAGCTGTAAGATCCAGGAGGATAAGTAAGGATGGTGAACAGAGTCTGCTGCTCTCAGGAGATCATTGGTGACCCTCCAAAGCTGTTTCAGTGCTATGGCCAGGGAAACCCAGACGAAACTTGTCAAAAAGGTTATTGAGTTTGAGGTGATCCTGTAGTGTGCTGCTACTGTTTTCCAGAACTTTGGACAGAAATGGGAGATAGAGATTGCCTGTAGTTGGACAGGACTTCTGGATCCGGGTGGGTTTCTTCAGTAGTGGTCTGATGACAGCAGCTTTTAATGCAAGAGGGATATAGCCGGTTGGAGGGAGTGGTTAATGATGTTAGTGATGAGAGGAGAGATGAAGAGATGTTGGTTTTCAGCAGGACTGTGGGGAAGGGGTCCAGGGACAGGTGGTGGTCTCATTTTTTCCAATGATGCCCTCCACCTCTCCTGTGAGATGGGAGAAAAGGAGCAGAGTGTCTGAGCAATCGCAGTTGGTGGGTCAACATGTGGGGGGGGCAGGATAGCAGTGGTAGAGAGGAGGAAGTGAACGGATGCTATCAACCTTTTGTCTAAAAAAGGTGATATGCATGTTACATCTGTCCTCAGTGGCCTCAGAGTGGGAAGGTGCCCTCCCTGTGTGTCAGGTCCCTCCATGTGTGTGTCAGGTCCCTCCATGTGTGTGTCAGGTCCCTCAGGTCCCTCCCGGTGTGTGTCAGGTCCCTCCTGTGTGTGTCAGGTCCCCGTGTGATGTGTGTGTCAGGTCCCTCCCCGTGTGTGTCAGGTCCCTCCCGTGTGTGTCAGTCCCTCCCCGTGTGTGTCAGGTCCTCCCTGTGTGTCAGGTCCTCCCTGTGTGTGTCAGGTCGTTCCCTGTGTGTGTCAGGTCCCTCTCTGTGTGTGTCAGGTCCCTCCATGTGTGTGTCAGGTCCCTCTCTGTGTGTGTCAGGTCCCTCCCCGTGTGTGTCAGGTCCCTCCCTGTGTGTGTCAGGTCCCTCTCTGTGTGTGTCAGGTCCCTCTCTGTGTGTGTCAGGTCCCTCATGTGTGTTCATGTCAGGGTGTGTGTCAGGTCCCTCTCTGTGTGTGTCAGGTCCCTCCTGTGTGTGTCAGGTGTGTGTCTCTCTGTGTGTGTCAGGTCCTCATGTGTGTGTCAGGTCCCTCTCTGTGTGTGTCAGGTCCCTCTCTGTGTGTGTCAGGTCCCTGTGTGTCCCTTCCCTGTGTGTGTCAGGTCCCTCCCTGTGTGTGTCAGGTCCCTCTCTGTGTGTGTCAGGTCCCTCTCTGTGTGTGTCAGGCCCTCCCAGGTCCCTCCTGTGTGTGTGTGTGTGTCAGGTCCCTCCCTGTGTGTGTCCAGGTCCCTCCCTGTGTGTGTCAGGTCCTCTCCTGTGTGTGTCAGGTCCCTCCTCCCTGTGTGTGTCAGGTCCCCTCTCTGTGTGTGTCAGGTCCCTCCCTGTGTGTGTCAGGTTCCCAGGTCTCCGTGTGTGTGTCAGGTCCCTCCATGTGTGTGTCAGGTCCCTCTCGTGTGTGTCAGGTCCTCTCTGTGTGTGTCAGGTCCTCTCCCCTCCCTGTGTGTGTCAGGTCCCTCCCTGTGTGTGTCAGTCCCTCCCTGTGTGGTGTCAGGTCCCTCTCTGTGTGTGTCAGGTCCCGTCCCTCATGTGTGTCAGGTCCCTCCCTGTGTGTGTCCAGGTCCTCTCTGTGTGTGTCAGGTCCCTCCTCATGTGTGTGTCAGGTCCCTCCCTGTGTGTGTCAGGTCCCTCCCTGTGTGTGTCAGGTCCCTCTCTGTGTGTGTCAGGTCCCTCTCTGTGTGTGTCAGGTCCCCCCTGTGTGTCAAGGTCTCCTCGTGTGTGTCAGGTCCCTCCCTGTGTGTCAGTCCCTGTGTGTGTCAGGTCTCTCTGTGTGTGTCAGGTGTGTGTCAGGTCCCTCCCTGTGTGTGTCAGGTCCCTCTCTGTGTGTGTCAGGTCCCTCTCTGTGTGTGTCAGGTCCCTCCCTGTGTGTGTCAGGTCCCTGTGTGTCAGGTCCCTCCTCATGTGTGTGTCAGGTCCCTCTCTGTGTGTGTCAGGTCCCTCCTCATGTGTGTCAGGTCCCTCTCTGTGTGTGTCAGGTCCCTCTCTGTGTGTGTCAGGTCCCTCTCTGTGTGTGTCAGGTCCCTCCTCATGTGTGTCAGGTCCCTCCTGTGTGTGTCAGGTCCCTCTGTGTGTGTCAGGTCCCTCTCTGTGTGTGTCAGGTCCCTCCTCTGTGGTGTTCATTGTGTGTGTCAGGTCCCTCTCTGTGTGTGTCAGGTCCCTCTCTGTGTGTGTCAGGTCCCTCCTCATGTGTGTCAGGTCCCTCTCTGTAGTTTAGATCTGTTCAAACGTTGTGAAATGTGCTTCTGCTCTGGTTTGTTTCGTGTGATCAGGTTTGGGGTCGTCCTCTGACTTTTCCATATTTGGTCACATCTTCCTCTTTGTTCCCAGGGAATAACATCATCATCATCGTCGTCTGTGTCGTGTGCGCTGCAGCTGCTACTGCGGCGGGCGGCGTCTCTGCAGTGGCGCTCAAAAGAAAGAAGGAAACCAAAGGTACGTGACTCTCTCTTTTTGTCTCATTTTTTGGCGGTGAAAACAGGAAATTAGTTTCTTTCTCTCATGTTCTAATGTTTAAAAACATGAAGAGGTTTTAGAGTCCTCCATGTTTGAGTCATCTAGTGATCTCTCCTGGGCCCTATTCAAACCCTCCTTATGGTTAGCAGCCTTAAACTAAGTCACTCCCCCTTCAGAGCACTATCACAACTAGCACTGTGCAAAAATATTGAAATATCGACATATGGTTTGTGAGGTTTCAGTATCGATATCGTGGGCTGATGTATCGATTTATCGCCAAGAGGATTTTTTGGTTTATTTTACTAAATGATTTAGTGACAGAGTCAAAGTTTTGTTGTTCGTTTGGAGAAAGTTCATTTGTTTCTGCGACACATTTGACATTTTCACTGTTTTCAGTCAAATGTTTTTCATCTGAACTCAGTGATTTAATAAAAGTTTTAGAATCAGAGCCACGATTTAAACTTTGATTTCACTGAATCGTATCGAATCGATTTGAAATATATCGTATTGAATTGTATTGAATCAAAGTGCCCTGTATCGTATCGTATCGTATCGTGGTCTGTGATTCGTATCAGCAACTTCTGAATGAAACCAGCCCTGATCACAGCACACTCTCTGTGCTGAGTCTCTCCCCCTTCAGAGCGTCACATGAATGAAACTCCTGCACAAACATCAGGTTTGTTCAGTTTGTGTCGTGTTTTTGTGTTTTTATGGAGAAATCGATGTTGCAGAAAGTCTCGTCTTTAAACCTGTTCTTCAGTCACTGTAAATGTTCAGTCAACAAAAATAAACTGTGATATGGTGACTGTCCAAAACTTTGTCTCATCAGAGAGTTTTAAAGACGCGTTCCTCTGTTCGCCGCTCCGTCAGCCTGTCGTCCCCACAGCTGTGCTGTAGGGGGCGTCGTGAGGAGACCTCGTCACCTGTCGTTCCTCTGTTGAGCTGTAGGGCGTCGTGAGGAGACCTCGTCACCTGTCGTTCCTCTGTTGAGCTGTAGGAGGCGTCGTGAGGAGACCTCGTCACCTGTCGTTCCTCTGTTGAGCTGTAGGAGGCGCCGCGCTGCAGTTTCTCCAGACAGAAGAGCCTGAGCCTTTATTTACCTTTAGTGAGTTTTGGATTTGTTTTTTCCTGAAGCACTTGGCGTCGTCTTCCACCAGACGGAGACCAAACCTGGAAGGATTTTCTACGATTGAGAATCGACCAAAAAGCGCCGCGTGTCCTGAGGTTCTGCCACAGCGTCACTGAGGGAGGGCATCTGGTTTAGTCTGGACACATGTTTGTGTTTTTGCCTTGAAATTCTGAAGTCACTTTAAAAAACCAGAATGTTTAAATTTACAATTTTATTTGATCAAACGAAGACGAGACACGAGACGCAAGAACATCACAAATATAACCAGAACATGGAGTTAATGCCCCAGAGTCAAATACCCCAGAGTCAAATACCCCAGAGTCAAATACCCCAGAGTCAAACACCCCAGAGTCAAACACCCCAGAGTCAAATACCCCAGAGTCAAACACCCCAGAGTCAAACACCCCAGAGTCAAATACCCCAGAGTCAAAAACCCCAGAGTCAAATACCCCAGAGTCAAATACCCCCAGAGTCAATACCCCAGAGTCAAATACCCAGAGTCAAATACCCCAGAGTCAAATACCCCCAGAGTCAAATACCCCCAGAGTCAAATACTCCCAGAGTCAAATACCCCCAGGTCAAATACCCCCAAGTCAAATACCCCAGAGTCAAATACCCCAGAGTCAAATACCCCCTGAGGTCACAAAGTCTTTTTAATATTTGAGTTGAAACTAAATCAGTGTTTAAATGTTTGTTAACACTTTACGTGTGTAAATCGTGTGTAAATTGTGTAAATCGTGTGTAAATGTTCTTTAAACTTGAACTCATCGTTTACTCAAAATACTGAGTTTGTCGTTATATTTGAGTTTTTTGTGCTCAGAGAGAATCTCAGAGTCAAACGGTCGTGGGTTAAAACTGCACAAGTAGTTCCGGCATCAGCCAAATCACTGTTCCGTATCACTGCTCTGTGTCGTCACCGTAGCAACGGGTAAACAGACGAGTTTATGGACGAGCTTCATTTAAAACACTGAAACAACAAACGTGTGAATAAAAATGTTTCATCTTTTATTCATTAAACATAAATGTTTTATTCATTAAACATAAATGTTTTATTCATTAAACATAAATATTATTTGTATTAAACATGTAGAAATATTTAATTTTTTGGTAAAATCACTTTTTGTTGAAACTCGTGTTCTTGGGAGATTTTTAGTAAACGATGAGTTAATGTTTAAAAAACATTTATAAAATAAATCACATATAAATGATTCAATGTAAAGTTTGAACAAATGTTTCTTATGTTTTTCATATTTTCATTTCATCTCAAGGATTAAATGTTCAACCTGTGAAAAAAGACAAAACCTCCTGCACCTGGTCTGGACTAAACCAGAACTAACCAGGACTAACCAAACTAAACCAGGAAACAGGACTAAACCAGAAATAAACCAGAACTAAACCAGGACTAACCAGGATAAACCAAACTAAACCTGGACTAAACCTGGACTAAACCAGAACTAAACCAGAACTAAACCTGGACTAAACCTGGACTAAACCAGAACTAAACCAGAACTAAACCAGGACTAAACCTGGACTAAACCAGGACTGAAGTGTTTTAGTCTGGAGCAGGTTTGTTCTCGTGGTTCTTGTTTTTGAATTTTTTTGTTGAAGTTTCTGAGCTTTTTTGTGTTTTTTTATGTTGAAGTATTTTTTTAATTAAAATTATTTTATACAAATATAAATGCTGAATTATTTGCACTAGATTCCTCGCGTTGCTTCCTCCTCTCACCTCGTCTTGAATCTCATTCTGCCTTCATTTGAATCTCATCACAGTCGTCTACTCCTAAAAATCCCTTTTCTCTCAGTCCTTTTTCCTTGTGGTCTTGGTGTTCCAGAAATCAAAGTTTTCAAACTGTTTTCAAACTCTTCAAACTCCAGAAACGCTTCTGAAGCTTCAAACTCCAGAAACGCTTCAAACTCCAGAAACAGCAACTCCAGAAAAAACTCCAGAAACGTCAAACTCCAGAAACACGCTTCAAACTCCAGAAACGCTTCAAACTCCAGAAACGCTTTAAACCAGAAATTAGCTTCAAACTTGTTTCGTGGTTTTCAAATGAAATAAAAATTTTAAACGCTTCATAACTATGGGAATAAACTCCAGAAACGAAGTTCAGATTAAAACTGAACTTTAAGACACTTTAAATTAACGTTTAAATCAGAATTACTTCAAACTAATTCACCGAATAAACTCATCAAGTCCGTCACTTGTTGGAGAAACGCTTCAAACTCGACTTTGCTTACTGAAACGTTAAAAATAGAAACCCGAACCAAAGTAAAAAAATAGAAACGCTTCAAAAGCTGAAAACGTGTTGTTCAAACTCCACAAAACGTTTCAAAGCTTCAAACAGAAACCTTCAAACTCCAGAACGCTTCAAACTCCAGAACGCTTCAAACTCCTCAAACTCTCCAGAAACGCTTAACTCCAGAAACTTTCCAGAAACGTCCAGAAAACTTTCAAATGAAACGCAGAAACCCAAATCTGAAACTTTTTCAAGTCCAAAGTCCAGAAAACGTTTTCAAACTCCAGAAACGTTTCAAACTCCAGAAACGCTTCAAACTCGAAACGTTCAAACTCCAGAAACGCTTCAAACTCCAGAAACGCTTCAAAAAACGTTTCAAACTCCAGAAACTAAACTCCAGAAACGCTTCAAACTCCATAAACGCTTCAAACGCCAAACTCCAAACGCTTAAACTCCAAAACTTTCAAAGTCCAGAAACGCTTCAAACTCCAAACTCCATAAACGCTTCAAACTCCAGAAACAAACTTCCAGAAACTCAAACCAGAAACGCTAAACTCAAGAAACTTTCAAAGTCCAGAAACGCTTCAAAGTCCAGAAACGTTCAACTCCAGAAAAAACGCTATCAAACTCCAGAAACGCTTCAAAAACGCTTCAAAGTCCAGAAACGCTTCAAAAACTCCAGAAACGAAACAACAAACTCCAGAACGCTTCAAACTCCATAAACGCTTCAAACTCCAGAAACCCAAACGTTAAAAGAAACGCTTCAAAACTCCAGAAACGCTTCCAAAGTCAAACGCTTCAAACCAGAAACGCTTCAAACTCCAGAAACTTTCAAAGTCCAGAAACGCTTCAAAGTCCAGAAACGTTTCAAACTCCAGAAACCTTCAACTCCAGAAACGCTTCAAACTCCAGAAACGCTTCAAACTCCAGAAACGCTTCAAACTCCAGAAACGCTTCAAACTCCACAAACGCTTCAAACTCCAGAAACGCTTCAAACTCCAGAAACGTTCAAACTCCAGAAACGCTTCAAACTCCAGAAACGCTTCAAACTCCAGAAACGCTTCAAACTCCAGAAACGTTTCAAACTCCAGAAACGTTTCAAACTCCACAAACGCTTCAAACTCCAGAAACGCTTCAAACTCCAGAAACGCTTCAAACTCCAGAAACGTTCAAACTCCAGAAACGTTCAAACTCCAGAAACGCTTCAAACTCCAGAAACGCTTCAAACTCCAGAAACGCTTCAAACTCCATAAACGTTCAAACTCCAGAAACGCTTCAAACTCCAGAAACGCTTCAAACTCCAGAAACGCTTCAAACTCCAGAAACGCTTCAAACTCCAGAAACGTTTCAAACTCCAGACGTGTTTCAGAGGAGATCTAAGCCCAGGAGGAGCAGGAGTCTGGGAGGTTCTGACAGGAGCAAACTGAGCTTCTGTTGGTCTGGACACTTCAGGTCGAAGCTGAAGCAGAAACTTAAAGATTTAAAATGAGACAAAAAGTCCAAATGGAATTTATATAAACGTCTGAAACTGAAACTCCTAACCTCACCTGTGTCAGACAGAACCAACAGAACCAACAGAACCTCATCAGAACCAATAGAACCAACAGAACCTCAGCAGAACCTCAGTAGAACCTCAGTAGATCCTCAGTAGAACCTCAGTAGATCCTCAGTAGAACCTCAGTAGAACCTCAGTAGAACCTCAGTAGATCCTCAGTAGATCCTCAGTAGAACCTCAGTAGATCCTCAGTAGAACCTCAGTAGATCCTCAGTAGAACCTCAGTAGAACCTCAGTAGATCCTCAGTAGAACCTCAGTAGAACCTCAGTAGAACCTCGGGGCTCTTGGTTCTGAGTCGTGTTTTCTTCACCTGTTTGGTGTAAATGTGGAGGTCGAGTGAAGCTGCAGTGAAACATTAAATAAACACGTTTGTATTTTTCTGGTTCTGATCGTGTCCAGAGTCTCGGTTCAGATTCTGCAGAACAGCGCCGCCTGTGGCCGCCTCACGTCACTGCACGCGGAGTTTACACCAGGACTCTCTCTGTCACATGATCAGGGGCGAGGAGCACCACCCCCCAAACCACAAACACCACCCCCCAAACCCCCCAAACACCACCCCCCAAACCACAAAACCACCCCCAAACCCCAAACACACCACCCCCAAACCACAAACACCCCAAAACCAAACAACCCCCACCCCCCAAACCACAAACACCACCCCCAAACACAAACACCACCCCCAAACCACAAACACCACCCCCCACAAACCACAAACACCACCCCCAAACCACAAACACCACCACCCCCAAACCACAAACACCACCCCCACCACCACCACACAACCACACCACCCCCCCAACCAACAAACACCACCCCCCAAACCACAACCACCCCCAAACCACAAACACCACCCCCCAAACCACCCCCAAACCACAAACACCACCCCAAACCCACAAACCACCAAACCCCCAAACCACAAACCACCACCCCCCAAACCACAAACCACCCAAACCCACTAACCCCAAACCACAAACACCACCCCCAACCCAAACACCACCCCCCCAAACCACAAACACACCCCCCAACCACACAACCACCCCAACCACCCCACCCCAACCACAAACACCACCCCCCAAACCACAAACACCACCCCCCAAACCACAAACACCACCCCCAAACCACAAACACCACCCCCCCAAACCCACAAACACCACCCCCCAAACCCACTAACCCCAAACCACAAACACACCCCCCAAACCACAAACACCACCCCCCAAACACAACACCAAACCCCCCAAACCACAAACACACCCCCCCAAACCCACAAACACCCCCCCCAAACCACAAAACACCACCCCCCAAACACAAAACACCACCCCCCCCAAACACCACCCCCCAAACCACAAACACCACCCCCAAACCACAAACACCACCCCCCACAAACCACAAACACCACCCCCAAAACCCACAAACACCACCCCCAAACCACAAACAACACCCCCCAAACCCACAAACACCACCCCCCAAAACCACAAACACCACCCCCAAACCACAAACACCACCCCCAAACCACAAACACCACCCCCCAAACCCACAAACACCACCCCCCCAAACCACCCCCCAAACACCACCCCCAACCACAAACACCACCCAAACCCACAACACACCCCCAAACCACAAACCCCACCCCCCAAACCCACAAACACCACCCCCAAACCCCAACCACCCCCAACCCCCCAAACCACAAACCCCAAACCCCAAACACCACCCCCAAAACCACAAACACACCCCCCAAACACCAACCCCCCAAACCCACAAACACCACCCCCCAAACCACAAACACCACCCCCCAAACCACAAAACACCCCCCCAAACCCACAAACCCACCCCCAAACCACAAACCCAAAAACCCAGACCAGGTCCAGACCGGGTTGTACTTTCTCTGTTCCGTGAGCGCGCGAGCCCAGCACGCACCACAGTTTAGAGGATTTACTCACAAAAAGAACAAAAAACCCCCGAAAGAACACGAACACACACACACAAACACACACACACAACACACACACACACACACACACACACACACACACACACACACACACACACACACACACACACACACACACACACACACACACACACACACAAACACACACACACACACACACACACACACACACACACACACACACACACACACACACAACACACACACACACACACACAGACACACACACACACACACACACACACACACACACACACACACAGACACACACACACAGACACACACACACACACACACACACACACACACACACACACACACACACACAGACACACACAGACACACACAGACACACACACTCACACACACACACAGACACACAAAGACACACACACACACACACAATCTCCACTGTCACACTCGGCAGTTTGGCTGAAGTGTCTTGCCTAAAGACACAACGTCTGTTTTGCTTTGTGTCACTTTTCTGTCTCCATGGAGATGTTGTTGTTTTTGTCTGGAATGTTCCACAGTGTGACATGAAACCTTTCTATCTCCACGGAGACCAAACCAGACGGTGTTCCAGGTCAGATCTGTGGAGCGGCGACTCCGCTCTGTTTTTCTCAGGATGTTTGGTCCCGACTTTCCCGTCGCAGCGGCCGAGTGTTTGTTTACCCGTCGCTACGGTGACGTCGGCGGCACGAGCTCAGAGCAACAACAAACAAATATAAAACTCCCTAAAGAGAAATGGATCAGTAAAAGCCTTTAAACCAGATGCCCTCCCACACTCCACACTCCACACAGTCAGAGGAAAACAGACCGGCTGGTTTTTGGTTCAACTGTCAGTCCTGCTGAGTCAGCGCCCCCTACGGCACCGCGGGGAACAGCGCCCCCTACGGCACCGCGGGGAACAGCGCCCCCTACGGCACCGCGGGGAACAGCGCCCCCTACGGCACCGCGGGGGGGCAGCAGCAGACGAGGCCGACGAAGGCGTCTTTAAAAGTCTCTGTGGAGACAAAAGGTTTGGACACGTCACAGTTTGTTTGAAGTGACTGAAGCTCGGCCCAAAAAAAATGATCTAAAGACGAGATGTTCTACAACATCGATTTGTTCATATTAACCCACAGTACGAGTCTGTACGAGGCTCCGCCTACACGCTCCCGCAGTACGAGTCTGTACGAGGCTCCGCCCACACGCTCCCGCAGTACGAGTCTGTACGAGGCTCCGCCCACACGCTCCCGCAGTACGAGTCTGTACGAGGCTCCGCCCACACGCTCCCGCAGTACGAGTCTGTACGAGGCTCCGCCCACACGCTCCCGCAGTACGAGTCTGTACGAGGCTCCGCCCACACGCTCCCGCAGTACGAGTCTGTACGAGGCTCCGCCCACCACGGTCCCGCAGACGAGTCTGTACCAGGCTCCGCCCACACGCTCCCGCAGTACGAGTCTGTACGAGGCTCCGCCCACACGCTCCCGCAGTACGAGTCTGTACGAGGCTCCGCCCACACGCTCCCGCAGTACGAGTCTGTACGAGGCTCCGCCACACGCTCCGCAGTACGAGTCTGTACGAGGCTCCGCCCACACGCTCCCGCAGTACGAGTCTGTACGAGGCTCCGCCCACACGCTCCCGCAGTACGAGTCTGTACGAGGCTCCGCCCACACGCTCCCACAAGTACGAGTCTGTACGAGGCTCCGCCCACACGCTCCCACAGTACGAGTCTGTACGAGGCTCCGCCCACACGCTCCCACAGTACGAGTCTGTACGAGGCTCTATTGTGCGTCGCACTAATGAAACTCCTGCACAAACATCAGGTTTGTTCAGTGTCTGTTCAGTTTTGTGTCGTGTTTTTGTGTTTTTATGGAGAATTGTCGTGTGGGAGTGTGTGGGCGGAGCCTCGTACAGACTTGTACAGCTAACTGTAAAGAGGGTTTGGTTAGGGCCCAGGAGAGATCACTAGATGACTCAAACATGCATGGAGTGTAGAACCTCTTCATGTTTGTGATGAGGAACATTAGAACATGAAAGAAACAAACTTCCTGTTTTCATCGTTAAAAATAAGACAGAGGAGACAGAGACGTACCGTTGGTTTGCTTCTTCCTTCGGAGCGTCAGAGCCGAGAGAACGAGCGACAGCAGGACGAGGGCAGCGAGCGCCACAAACGTGATGATGTCAGGAACGTGAAGAGGCTCTGTGACCAAATCAAGACAAACAAGTGACAAGAACGTTAAGAAAGTGGATAAAGTTTGAGTGGAGCTGCAGAGTTTGGAGTGTGGGCCACATGTTCAGTCCCACAGGAGCAGGTCTGACGAGTGTGGGCGGAAAATGGGCCCCTCAGAAAAACAGAAAAACATTTAGAGACGGATTTAGAGCCGGGAAAACAGATCTTCATTCAGTGCAATTTAGAAAATCTCTCTAATTTCACTAAATTTGAAACTATTGCTGCTAGAAGATGTGCATTAAAAGAAAAAATGTTCTTTAAAATGACAGAAAAACTAAACAAAAAAAGAAACAAACTCAATCTTCCCGGTGAAGTTCATGTGGACGAGTCTCAAGGATCTGGAAAAGTCACATTTCTTTTCATTAATGGAGTTACAGTAAATCCCATTATAAAAAAATAAGGCTCATGGGAAATGATAATTTAGTGAAAAAATCTAAAACTTTTATGTTTTACATAATTGTATTTAGTTTTCAACAGGAAAACTTAAAATAAAAGGCAAAAAGTGTCTGTGTGTGTGTGTGTCTGTGTGTGTGTCGTGTGTGTGTGTGTGTGTGTCTGTGTGTGTGTGTGTCTGTGTGTGTGTGTGTGTGTGTGTGTGTGTGTGTGTGTGTGTGTGTGTGTGTGTGTGTGTGTGTGTGTGTGTGTGTGTGTGTGTGTCTGTGTGTGTGTGTGTGTGTGTGTGTGTGTGTGTGTGTGTGTGTGTGTGTGTGTGTGTGTGTGTGTGTGTGTGACTGTGTGTGTGTGTGTGTGTGTGTGTGTGTGTGTGTGTGTGTGTGTGTGTGTGTGTGTGTGTGTGTGTGTGTGTGTGTGTGTGTGTGTGTGTGTGTGTGTATGTGTGTGTGTGTGTGTGTGTGTGTGTGTGTGTGTGTGTGTGTGTGTGTGTGTGTGTGTGTATGTGTGTGTGTGTGTGTGTGTATGTGTGTGTGTGTGTGTGTGTGTGTGTGTGTGTGTGTGTGTGTATGTGTGTGTGTGTGTGTGTGTATGTGTGTGTGTGTGTGTGTATGTGTGTGTGTGTGTGTGTGTGTGTGTGTGTGTGTGTGTGTGTGTATGTGTGTGTGTGTGTGTGTGTGTGTGTGTGTATGTGTGTGTGTGTGTGTGTATGTGTGTGTGTGTGTGTGTGTGTGTGTATGTGTGTGTGTGTGTGTGTGTGTATGTGTGTGTGTGTGTGTGTGTGTGTGTGTGTGTGTGTGTGTGTGTGTGTGTATGTGTGTGTGTGTGTGTGTGTGTGTGTGTGTGTGTGTGTGTGTGTGTGTGTGTGTGTGTGTGTGTGTGTGTATGTGTGTGTGTGTGTGTGTGTGTGTGTGTGTGTGTGTGTGTGTGTTGGTGGTTGTAGATTGGCAGCCGTGGTTCGGTCAGTCTGCCTCGGGGCGGCTGTGGCTCCAGTGTAAATACAGTGATTGATTCATGAATAAAACTGAACTTCAAGAAGAAAAAGTAAAAATATTTTGTGCAGATTTTTGGTTTTACTGAATCTTTAAATTTTGACACAGATTTTGTTCAACAGAAAAAATTGCATCAGTTTTTGTTTTTTTTTCCATCTGTTTTTATTTGTACATTTGTCCAGATAAAATCAGACGAGGCTCCGGAGCCGCACGTGGCTCCTTCATCTGTGGCTCCTGGGACTTTGGGAAACATATAATGTGTATTTAATTACAGCGTATTTTTATTTGAGTTTGTTTGTTTTGAAATGTAATTCGACATTTGTAGATAATGATGATCTTGTAACATTCAAATAAAACATTTTTTATATTTTTTTCTTAAAATCTGCGTCAGAGTCTTCGATGTTCGACACGACACAGATCTGAACCCAGACTCACGACTCACGACTCACGACTCACGACTCACGACTCACGACTCACGACTCACGACTCACGACTCCTGCACCAACTTTTACTCAACTTTCACTCCTGCGGGTAAATGATGAATAAATCTAAGAACAGAAAAGTGCTTCATTTCCTTTCTCGGCTGATCTGAGGAGGTTTACACGAGATAAAATAATGACAGAAACAAACATTTTCATTTCTCTGCAGGTGAATCATTTCAGTTTGATTTTTATTTCCTTCGAGATCTCAAACTCTGAGGATTTTATTTGAAATAAACATCATCAAGTGTCTTTTTTTCGGACGTCAAAATGTTTTTGTTACGTGCAGAAATAAAATTCCGTTTTCTCTGTAAAGTTTTACTGATTTCATAAACGTGACACAAACAAACGACCTGCAGAGTTTTCCTCGTGTTTCACTCTGACGGTTTTGTGGCTCTGGGAGTTTTTTTCTTTTCTGTCAGAGTTGAAGCCAAAACTCCTGAAATAATAAAATAATAATAATAATAATAATAATAATAATAAAAATAAACCCTCAGACTCTCAGACTATAATCAAAATACTTTTACTTTTCAGTCCTGTTCTAAAATGTACTGCAGTAAAAGTACAGATCCCTGCTCCCAGATGTACTCAAGTAAAAGTAAAAAGTATCCAGTAAAGCACAGACACCTACGGAAGCCCTGAGCTGCCTTTTTTTTTTTTTTTTTGTTGGCCGCTCTGGGCTTCCGTAGATCCTCAGACGTGGACTTGAGTTTTGTACTTTTCTACTTTTACTTTATGTTCCAGAAATAAAAATCAAACTTCAGACAGAAAAAAACATTTAGGATTTATTTACAAAAATACACGATTCAAAACAAGAAATCAACTTGACTTTAGTCCTGGTTTAGTCCCGGTTTAGTCCTGTTTTAGTCCTGGTTTAGATTTAGTCTTAGATTTAGACATTGGTTGAGTCCTGATCGAGTCCTGGTTTAGTCCCGGTTTAGTCCTGATCGAGTCCTGGTTTAGACCCGGTTTAGTCTTGATTTAGTCCTGGTTTAGTCCTGGTTTAGATTTAGTCTTAGATTTAGATGTTGTTGGTTTAGTCCTGGTCGAGTCCTGGTTTGGTCCCGGTTTAGTCCTGGTCGAGTCCTGTTTTGTGGCCCTTCCTGAGTCGCGGCTGAGCTGTGCTGTGATTGGCTGATGACTGTGCTGCGGAGGCGTCTGATTGGCCGGAGCTCGTCCTTGTCCGGAGAAGACTCGGGTCAGACCTGGAGTTTTCTTCGGGACCGGTCTCAGAGGCTCAGACCTGGACTTGAGTTCGGCCACGAGCTCCGCGCTGGACAAAGACGGAACTGCAACGACCAGAAGGAGAAGGGTTCAGTTTAAACCTCGGGCAGAAAAAAAAACATTTTATTTTTATACAGAACAGATTTTTTATAATAACAAAGTTTTTATATCAGTGTTTTTATTGACTCTAATCAGAAATAACAAAGATGATAGAAAAGGTTCACATTTTAACTCCTTAAATTCCAGTTTTTTATGTTTTTTTCTTTATTTTTCAAGTTATTTTAATTTGTGAGTGTGTTTGGTTTATCAGAGTTTGGGGACGTCAGAAAATCATCTCAACACTGATTTGGACGTTTGTTTAGGTTCAGTCGCTTTATTCGTACCCGTAGGTAAATTTGCTTTGCAGATTTGAGCGGCAGGTTCCACATTTCACATTTCATTCATCCACAAAACACACAGAAAATCACAATTACAAAATAAAGTGTTACAGATGCTCCAGTGCAGAACGGTTTGTTCCATAAACAACCAATTAAATTCATCCATCAGGCTCGGCTAAAATCACAATAAATCTTAAATATGTTAAAAACACACAAACTTAGATAAATAGATTATAATTTATTCATAAGTTTGACAGCAGCCGGAACGAAGCTCCTTTTAAAATGATTCGTTCTAGATCTTGGGACTAAAAACCTCAGACCAGAGAGAAGCAGCTGAAACTCTGAGTTTAGTGGATGTTGCTCGTCTCTTAAAATCCTCTGGGACGACGTCTGTAAATGTCTCGAGTCCAGAGACTCTGAGGAGGAACTAACACCTCACTCACCCATTTAGTTTTTGCACAAAATGCCCCATTGACTTCTGTTAAAATCACACATTCTCACATAAATTGTGGATTTTTTTCAGGTTTCTCCTTGTAAAAAAAGGTAAAATTTGTGATTTTTACAAATCAAACCCAATTCGCCCCATTAAACAGATTCATTTGTACAAATGTCTTTGTCTTGATAGAATTTTTTAATGGAAGATACACAGAAAATGGAAAATATCAGAAAATTCAAGACACTAAAACTAATAATTCTGATGTGTTTTCAACACCAAAGAATGAAAAATAAATCGAAAAGTAAAAATACACTGGCAAAGTTAGACCAGTGAAAAAAGCTTTTTTGAACGGAAGTCAACGGGACAAAAATGTACCGCAGGAGAAAAGTGTGAGGATTTTGATCATAGAACGTTCAGTTAATGTGGCCTAAAAAAATTTTAAAAAAAAATTAAAAAAAAAATTAAAAAAATTAAAAATACATCATAAAATACACAAACTGTCAGTTTTGGTGCAACACGACCAAAGCGACGCATAAAAGAAAGTTTGTGATGTTCAAAAATGTACCGTAAAGTGTAGAAGGTTTAAGAGACGAGGAGGTTCTGACCTGGACGAAATCCAGGACTAGGACTGGACTGAGGACTCAGCCTGGGACTGGAGGAGGCGGGGCTTGAGGAGGCGGGGCTTGAGAAGGCGGGGCTTGAAGAGGCGGGACTGGAGGAGGCGGGGCTTAGATGAGCAGAGGGGGAGGAGTCATCGCTCTGCGGGTCACAAAAACGCCTCTGACGCTCTGAAACCAAAGACCTGGTTTAGACCTGGTTTAGTTCTGGTTTAGTCCTGGTTTAGACCTGATTTAGTTCTGGTTTAGACCTGGTTTAGTCCTGGTTTAGTCCTTGTTTATTCCTGCTACAGTTTTTAGTTTTAACTTTAGTTTTAGTGTTGATTATTATTTGTTTTTAGGAGACATTTTGAGTCTTTTCTCCATTCAGTGGGTCACATGATTCATCGCTATGGCAACGGTCACGCTCCGTCTGAAACCTGCAAGCGGAGATGAAGGGCCCTGCCTGCACACTTCTGTCACTTCTGTCACTTTCTCCTGAGATTTTGACTTTTTTTCAGATCACAAACTTTCTCAGCTCAAAATCCTTCAGCTGTTTTATTCTGCTCTCGCTCTGATTGGTCAGAGCGGTCACGTGATGAGACGAGCGCTACTGCACATGCTCAGTGCTGAGCTCGTTTGGACCTGGGTTTGGACCCGGGTTTGGATCCAAACACCCGGGTTTGGACCCGGGTTTGTTCGTACCTCTGAAGAACTCGTTCTGGAGCTGAGGGCTGCGCAGTGATTGGACGAGCTCAGGTCCAGGGGCGGGGCTTGAAAAGGGCGGGTCCATGATGTCATCGGCGAGTGGGAGGAGCCTCTGAACGACAACAGGAAATGAGGTCACAATGCAGGAAAAATACTCGTCAGTCTTTAAATTTTAGAACATTTGGAACAGAAACCAGTTTAGTCCAGGTTTGGTCACTTCATTTCAGATCCACACATGAAGATTTTGTCAAGTAAAAGTACTTTTACTGCAGTACAATTATTACTTAAGTAGAAGTAAAAGTATACTGCAAGAAAAGTACTCTGGAAAGTACAATTTATTTAAAAAGTTACACGAGTAAATGTAGTAGCAATAATGATAATACTAATAGTAGTGACAGTAGCAGTAGTAGTAGTAGTAGTAGTAGTAGTAGTGGTAGTAGTAGCAGTGGTAGTAGTACTACCCCCTGCGGAGTACATGCAGTACATATGCAGTATTATTACCCTTCAGTACTTTTACTTCCTCCAAACTCGCTGACACAGAAAAACTGAGTCTGTCCATGAACCAGACCAAGACCAAGACCTGGTCCAAACCCGGGACTACACCGGGACCAGACCAGGACCAGACCAGGACCACAGCCGGACCTGGACCAGAGGCGGATCATAACCGGACTCTGTGAGGGTCTTTTGGGGCCAAATAAAGAGTGAGAGTCACTCACCGGAGCCTGAACCTGCCGCCGCGCCGATCCAGAGTCCACGTTAATGATTGACAGGCGTCGCCACGGAAACAAAGGCAGGTCACATGACTCAGGGAGAGTCACACCACAGGATTTACACCAGATGCCCTCCCACCACACAGGAACCACGAGGGGACTAAACCAGGACTAAACCAGGACTAAACCAGAACTAAACCAGGACTAAACCAGAACTAAACCAGGACTAAACCAGGACTAAACCAGGACTAAACCAGGACTAAAACCAGGACTAAACCAGACTAAACCAGAACTAAACCAGAACTAAACCAGAACTAAACCAGGTCTAAACCAGGACTAAACCAGGACTAAACCAGAACTAAACCAGGAACTAAACCAGGTCTAAACCAGGACTAAACCAGGACTAAACCAGGACTAAACCAGGACTAAACCAGGACTAAACCAGGTCTAAACCAGGACTAAACCAGGTCTAAACCAGGACTAAACCAGGACTAAACCAGGTCTAAACCAGGACTAAACCAGGTCTAAACCAGGACTAAACCAGGACTAAACCAGGACTAAAAACTAAACCAGGACTAAACCAGGACTAAACCAGGTCTAAACCAGGACTAAACCAGGTCTAAACCAGGACTAAACCAGGACTAAAACAGGTCTAAACCAGGACTAAACCAGGTCTAAACCAGGTCTAAACCAGGACTAAATCAGGTCTAAACCAGGACTAAACCAGGACTAAACCAGGTCTAAACCAGGACTAAACCAGGTCTAAACCAGGACTAAAATCAGGTCTAAACCAGGACTAAACCAGGACTAAACCAGGTCTAAACCAGGACTAAACCAGGACTAAACCAGGACTAAACCAGGTCTAAACCAGGACTAAACCAGGTCTAAACCAGGACTAAACCAGGTCTAAACCAGGACTAAACCAGGACTAAACCAGGACTAAACCAGGTCTAAACCAGGACTAAACCAGGACTAAAACCAGGACTAAACCAGGTCTAAACCAGACTAAACCAGGACTAAACCAGGACTAAAACCAGGTCTAAACCAGGACTAAACCAGGTCTAAACCAGGTCTAAACCAGGTCTAAACCAGGTCTAAACGCTCGAGGGAGAAGCTCAGACGTTGGTTTTTCGTTTTAGTGGTTTATTAAAACAGTTATAATCTCATCTTCAGCAAAAGTTAAAAATTTGATTTTTTTTTCTTCTGAGATTCACAAAAACAAAAGTTAAAACAAAACAACATGATCAGAGAAACCAATCAGAGGAGAGGAGAGAGGGCAGGGGCCAATCAGAGGAGAGGAGAGAGGCGAGGGGCCAATCAGAGGAGAGGAGAGAGGGGACGGGCCAATCAGAGGAGAGGAGAGAGGGGACGGGCCAATCAGAGGAGAGGAGAGAGGGGACGGGCCAATCAGAGGAGAGGAGAGAGGGGAGGGGCCAATCAGAGGAGAGGAGAGAGGGGACGGGCCAATCAGAGGAGAGGAGAGAGGAGACGGGCCAATCAGAGCAGAGCGTTCACTTTTAAAAGCCTAAATTTCAGATAAACCAGGCAAAATGTTTAATATTAGAAACGTAAAAAAAAAAAAAATCATAATAATAAATGTAAATATTCCATAAAGTTTGAAAAGACGTCGAACTCTGTGCCAGTTTCTGTTTCGTGTGGAAAAGGCCCAAGAATGAAAGAAAAAGAAACGTTGAAGCACAAACCAGAAGAAAATAAACCGAAAACTCCAGACAGAGGAGAGCTCAAAGACTACAGTGCTCTTTAAAACCGAGGAGACGAGGACAGAGGAGACGAGGGCAGAGGAGACGAGGGCAGAGGAGACGAGTGAGGAGGATAGAGATGAGGAGAGAGGAAACGAGGAGGTAAGACATGTCGTGAAAGGCTCAGAGTCCCAGCTTCACGAGGCTCTTTGTGTGTGTGTGTGTGTTTGAGTGTGTGTGCTTGTGTGTGTGTATGGTTTGTGTGTGTGCGCTCTCATTGGCCGGAGCAGGTCACATGTTCTGTCCAGGTGAGTCCAGGTGAGCGGGGGCGGTGCTGCGCTCTCATTGGTCGATCACATGCCCTGTCGGATGCTCTGAATGATCTGGAAGATGGCTGCAAAAACAAACACAAACATAAACACAACGACTCGGAGTCAGGACTCAACCCGGGTCTGGACTCAACCCAGATTAGGACTCAATCCAGATTTAGACCTGGATTAGGATTCAAACCGGGTCAAGACTTTGATTAGGCCTCGAGACGGGTTTAGGCTCGGATTTGGACTCAAGAGGGGTTAGGACTTAGTTTAGGAGTAAACGCGGGTCAGGACTCAGTTAAAGACTCAACCCGGGTTTAGACTCGGACTAGGCCTCAAACCAGGTCAGGACTCGGATTAGAAGTCAACCTGGGTTTAGACTTGGGTTAGGACTCGGTTAAAAACTCAACCTGGGTCAGGACTCGGGTTGAGGCTCAGCCGGGGTCGGGACTCCGGGGTCGGGACTCCGGGGTCGGGACTCGGGGTCGGGACTCCGGGGTCGGGACTCCGGGGTCGGGACTCCGGGGTCGGGACTCCGTCGGGTCGGGACTCCGTCGGGTCGGGACTCGGGTCGGGGTCGGGACTCAGTCGGGTCGGGACTCAGTCGGGGTCGGGACTCAGGTCGGGTCGGGACTCAGTCGGTCGGGACTCGGGGTCGAAGCTGGGGGGTCAGGACTCAGGCGGGTCGGGACTCAGGCGGGTCGGGTCAGGACTCAGGCGGGTCGGGACTCAGGCGGGTCGGGACTCAGGCGGGTCGGGACTCAGGCGGGTCGGGACTCAGGCGGGTCGGGACTCAGGCGGGTCGGGACTCGGGGTCAGGACATATTACATCTTGTTGAATGTTTAACGAGTGTGTCATGTGTACTCAGATCAAGTGACTTTTGGGAACTTTTCCTCGAGTCAATGTTCCGCATCAAAAACCCGGAAGTTTTCAGAGTCGTCCGTGCAGGTCTAACCCGGAATTTACACCCAGAGCTGCACACGCACGGACTTTTAAAAGCTTCAGTTTACACCAAAGAGCTTCTCCTGTGACGCAGCCTCTGTGTGTTTAAACTTTAAACTCTGTGTGTTTAAACTCTAAACTCTGCGTATCCTCACGTTTAAACTCTAAACTTTTCCCGTCGTTCATGTTTTCGTTGTTGATTGTCTCTGTTCTGTTTAAAATCTCTAAAGTGTCAGAGTGGAGGTTTTGTAGATGTTTTGTGGAGGTTTTGTAGATGTTTTGTGGAGGTTTTGTAGATGTTTTGTGGAGGTTTTGTAGATGTTTTGTGGAGGTTTGTGGATGTTTTGCAGTGTTACGAGTCGTATCTGTGGAGCTGCGTTCATGAAGCTCGTCTCCGTTTCACTTTTGCTCGTTTCTTTTCCTTCACTTGTTCCTGTAAAGTTTCTGTCTGATGTGGTCAAGTGTTTTAGACTGAAACTTTCTGTGTCCATCTCGAGTCGTTCCTCTTACACTTTGGTGTAAATTGAGGCTGAGTAATCCAGTGATCTGTCCTGAGGTCTATTTGAACCCTAGTTTGAGGTCCTCTGGTCTGAAGTTCCCTCAGGAATCTTTTATACGCGGGGGACGACGCTGAAGCAGGATCCAGGTTTTGTTTTTAGGAAGTTTGTGAGAAAAAGTAAAAAGTGAAACTGACCTGATCCACAAACCACAAAGACGAAGAGCGCGAGGAGCCAAGGACCCACCGGAGACTTCTCATCGTTCACCGGCCGCTGCAAGACACACACGTCAAGACCAGGACTGGGACTAAACCAGGATTAAACCAGGTCAAAACCAGGTCTAAACCAGGACTAAACCAGGTCTAAACCAGGACTAAACCAGGTCTATACAAGGACTAAACCAGGTCTAAGCTAGGACTAAACCAGGACTAAAACAGGTCTAAAACAGGTCTAAAACAGGAAATAAATCAGAACTAAGCTAAGGAGTAAACCAAAGACCAGGGACTAAATCAGGTCTACCCAAAGACTCAACCAGGACCAAACCAGAACCAAACCAGGACTGACCCATTTTCACCCGTCACTGCTCGGTCAAAACAAAATCTAAAATTGTCTTTCTGAATTCTTGGAACAGTTTTTCACATTCATTATCATCATCAGTGGAAGCCCAAAACCTGTCCTAGTTCTGGTTAAACTGGTTTCAGTCCATCAGCACCGGGAGAGTCCAGCTCCGAGTCCGACCTGCAGCTACACACGAGTTTAGACACAAAAACACAGAGCCACAAAGAACCTTTTTTACGTAAAGTGTCCAGATTTTACAAATAAAAACCCGGGACGTCCTGGTCTGTGGAGTTTGATCAAAATAAAACTGTAAAACCAGCGAGAAATTAAAGAAAACTGTAAAATTTTCTTCATTTTGATTGTTTTTAAGCAGATTTTCTGTATTTTACTAAAAAATATGACAGTTTATGTCTCTCATTACTGTTGTAGGATCAAATTGGTCAAAAATCGAGACATTTCTGGTATAAAACTGGGCCAAATCAGTGGTTTTATATAAATCTGCAGGGACAGAGACACAGGGACATAAACTGGGACTGTCCCGGGGATACAGGGACGTGTGGACACTATTCCAGCTCCAAACGTGTTCAATCTGTCCCGAATTTAGAGCTCAGGACAGAAAAAACCCACAGAAAAACACAAAACCACGGAGCCTTTTAAAGGTTTAGGTCTGAAGCTAACGGCTAAAGCTAACGGCTAAAGCTAAAGGCTAACGAAGCAGCCACGGAAACAAAACAAACAAATAAGCAAATAAGTAAATAAACAAATCCTTGGACGTGGACCGAGGGACACCGGGACTCTGCGCCGGGCTGAAGGCTGAGCCCAGACCCGGGGACAGAAGAGCGTTTCCCCGGGCTGCAGCTGTTAGCCCCGTTAGCCTCCTCGTTAGCTCCTGTTAGCCCCGTTAGCCAGAAGCTATTTTAATAGATCCATGGCCAGAAGACTTGGAACATCTTTTCTTTTCATGTAGTTTGGTTCAACAATTTTGGTTTGATTTTCATTCATTGCTTCAGTCCAGGGGAGTTAAATCTGCCCCCCTAACAATAAAAGAAATTAAATTTGGTGTATTAAGAGAAGATAAAAGGAAGCCTGGTTTAGACCTGGTTTAGTCCTGGTTTAGTCCTGGTTTACCTGGTTTAGTCCTGGTTTAGTCCTGGTTTTCCTGGTTTAGACCTGGTTTACCTGGTTTAGTCCTGGTTTAGTCCTGGTTTAGACCTGGTTTAGACCTGGTTTAGTCTGGTTTAGTCCTGGTTTTCCTGGTTTAGACCTGGTTTAGTCCTGGTTTAGTTTTCCTGGTTTAGACCTGGTTTAGACCTGGTTTTAGTCCTGGTTTAGACCTGGTTTAGACCTGGTTTTAGTCCTGGTTTACCTGGTTTAGACCTGGTTTAGACCTGGTTTAGACCTGGTTTAGTCCTGGTTTACCTGGTTTCCTGGTTTAGACCTGGTTTAGTTCCTGGTTTAGACCTGGTTTAGTTAGTCCTGGTTTAGTGGTTTAGTCCTGGTTTAGTCCTGGTTTAGACCTGGTTTAGACCTGGTTTAGTTCTGGTTTAGACCTGGTTTAGTCCTGGTTTAGTCCTGGTTTAGACCTGGTTTAGACCTGGTTTAGGTTTCCTGGTTTAGTTTACCTGGTTTAGTCCTGGTTTAGTCCTGGTTTAGACCTGGTTTAGACCTGGTTTAGTCCTGGTTTAGTCTGGTTTAGACCTGGTTTAGACCTGGTTTAGTCCTGGTTTAGTCCTGGTTTAGACCTGGTTTAGACCTGGTTTAGTCTGGTTTAGTTCTGGTTTAGACCTGGTTTAGTCCTGGTTTAGACCTGGTTTAGACTGGTTTAGTTCTGGTTTCCTGGTTTAGTCCTGTTTAGTCCTGGTTTAGACCTGGTTTAGACCTGGTTTAGTCCTGGTTTAGTTCTGGTTTAGACCTGGTTTAGACCTGGTTTAGTTCTGGTTTAGACCTGGTTTAGTCCTGGTTTAGTCCTGGTTTAGACCTGGTTTAGTCCTGGTTTAGTTCTGGTTTAGACCTGGTTTAGTCCTGGTTTAGTCCTGGTTTAGTCCTGGTTTAGACCTGGTTTAGTTCTGGTTTAGACCTGGTTTAGTCCTGGTTTAGACCTGGTTTAGTTCTGGTTTAGACCTGGTTTAGTTCTGGTTTAACCTGGTTTTAGTCCTGGTTTAGTTCTGGTTTAGTCCTGGTTTAGACCTGGTTTAGTTCTGGTTTAGTCCTGGTTTAGTCCTGGTTTAGACCTGGTTTAGTCCTGGTTTAGTCCTGGTTTAGACCTGGTTTAGACCTGGTTTAGTTCTGGTTTAAGTCCTGGTTTAGTTCCTGGTTTAGACCTGGTTTAGTCCTGGTTTACCTGGTTTAGTCCTGGTTTAGTCCTGGTTTAGTCCTGGTTTAGACCTGGTTTAGACCTGGTTTAGAGTCCTGGTTTAGTCCTGGTTTAGACCTGGTTTAGACCTGGTTTAGTCCTGGTTTAGTCCTGGTTTAGACCTGGTTTAGTCCTGGTTTAGACCTGGTTTAGTTTCCTGGTTTAGACCTGGTTTAGTCCTGGTTTAGTTTAGACCTGGTTTTAGTCCTGGTTTAGACCTGGTTTAGACCTGGTTTAGTTTTCCTGGTTTAGACCTGGTTTAGACCTGGTTTATTGGTTTAGACCTGGTTTAGTAGACCTGGTTTAGTCCTGGTTTAACCTGGTTTAGTCCTGGTTTAGTTCTGGTTTAGACCTGGTTTAGTCCTGTTTAGACCTGGTTTAGACCTGGTTTAGTTCTGGTTTAGACTGGTTAGTCCTTGTTTAGACCTGGTTTAGTCCTGGTTTAGACCTGGTTTAGACCTGGTTTAGGTTTAGTCCTGGTTTAGACCTGGTTTAGACCTGGTTTAGACCTGGTTTAGTTCTGGTTTAGACCTGGACCTGGTGGATCACACAGACACATGAAAACAGAAGAGAAAGTTTTAAATGTCAGTTTTTTTCTCTGTTGTTGCTCGCGTCACAAACGTCACAAACTCAGCAGACGCCAGGAAACATGTGGCTGATGTTTCCTGTGGTTCTGTTGGAGATGAAGGGTCTGGGTTTTTTTCATTTACGTGTCTTTCTTCTTTTCCCTTTTATAAACTGCCTATTCATTTGTGTATTAGAATTTCTCTAACTTCATAAAACGATGTGATGGTCGTGTTCGTTTCCTCCAGTCGTCCACCGTCCTCCAGTGAATCTTCAGCAGGTCGTGAAGACGCTGCTGCTGCTGCTGAATCCACCGTTTTACCACATCAGAGTCGGGAAATACACCGGAACATCGTCCACGTGTGTTACGGCCCCAGGACTTAGGTCTAATTTGTTTGTGTGATTTTTGCCGACTTCTTGATTCCCGCTGCAGGAGTCCTGGTCTGTGATTGGTGGGGAAGGTCGACGCCCACCTCACCTGCAGCCACCGCCCACTATTTAAGGAGACGACCAGCACCTGTTCAGAGCTGCTGGTCCTGGTGGTCAGTCTGACGTTTAGTGTTTTTGTGTTTAGTTTAGTTTAGTTCTGTTTTGTGCCTTTTTTTGATTTGGTCACTCGATTCTGTTTGTGGTTTCTGTGGTTTAATTTGAGGAACTTGTGTTTAGTTTCGTGTTTGTCCCTTAATTTTACCACTGGTTTTTGTGTAAACCTGCGTGACCCTTTTTGTGGCACAAAACCCGTTGTCTGTAGTTTTGTTTCTTAGTTTAGGTTATTTTCTGTATATTTTAGTCTGTTTTGTTAATTTACCTTTACATTCCTGTTAATTAAACATTATTTAATTTATTCCATTTTACATCTTGGTTTTGTTTTTGTTACGTCCCTCACCCCAAACGAGCCGAGTCGTAACAAATTGGGGTCTCGTCCGGGATCGTAATACCAACCTCAAATAAATTATAATGATTAATAGGTTTGTATTGGGTAGGTTTTTTTCAATTGGCTTGTTTTTTGAAATTTTGATTTGGTGATTGGTGTTTGGTGTTTGGTGTTTGATTGTGTTTGTGATTGATTGGTGATTTGGTGATTGGTGATTGGTGATTGGTGTTTGGTGATTGGTGTTTGGTGATTGGTGTTTGGTGATTGGTGATTGGTGATTGTTTGGTGATTGTTTGTGATTGGGTGATTGGGTGATTGGTGTTTGGTGTTTGGTGATTGGTGTTTGGTGATTGGTGATTGGGTGATTGGGTGTTTGGTGTTTGGTGATTGGTGATTGGTGTGGTTTGGTGTTTGGTGTTTGGTGATTGTGTGTGGTGTTTTTGATGTGTGTTGGTGATTGGGTGTTTGGTGTTTGGTGTTTGGTGATTGGTGTTTGGTGATTGGTGATTGGTGTTTGGTGATTGGTGTTTGTGGTTTGGTGATTGGTGATTGGTGATTTGGTGGTGATTGTTTGGTGATTGGTGATTGGGTGTTTGGTGAGTTGGTGATTGGTGATTGGTGATTGGTGTTGGTGTGGTGTGGTTTGGTGATTGGTTTGGTGATTTGTGTTGGTGTGGTGTTTGGGTTTGATTGGTGTTTGGTGATTTGGTGATTGGTGTTTGGTTTGTGATTGGTGATTGGTGATTGGGTGGTGGAGCGGGTGCTAATTACTAATAAACATGTGGTGCCAGTTATGTGTGACTGTGTGAGTTGCTCCAGGTGTGGTTTGTGTCCGGCCTGATCGTCCGTTCACACACCACCTTCTGAGCGTCCGTCGTTCTCCAGATTCCTTGGGTGGGGCTCGGTTCCTTGTGGCCCTGGCCCGTCTCTTTGGAGAAGTGGAAGAGTTAACACTGCTGCAGGGGCTGTACCTGGTGACCCTAACCAAACGTCTGACGGGAAGAGGCGGGAAAAGTGTCTGTCGTCTAAAGAAACATGTTTGGGTTTTTTTCTTGTTGGGTCAGAATCTCAGAGCCACAGGTTTGTTTTCACCTTGCATTTGTCCGATGGTCAGATCTCTGTCCAGACGGTCGATTCCTGCAAGATAAAAACTCTTAGTTATAATAATAATAATAATAATAATAATAATAATAATAACGTGTTTTCAACAGACGATCCTTTAAAGACGAGCTGTGACTCTGAGGTTTTCACTGGAACACGTCACATATTTACATCAACATGTTCCTTTTATTGGTTTAAAAATGTTTTATTTGCCCAAAAACAACAGATTCACATGTTTTCTGTCGTGTTTTTTGTCATGTGGGAGCGTGTGGGCGGAGCCTCGTACAGACTCGTACTGCGGGAGCGTGTGGGCGGAGCCTCGTACAGACTCGTACTGCGGGAGTGTGACTTTTACTCTCTGTCTTTTAACACTGTGTGAGTTGTCTGCTCCTGTGTCTTTTATTTCATTTCATCTCATTTTTCATTTGATTTGTTGTTTGTATTAATTTTTTTTTATCTTTTTGCATTTTAACACTTTTTATTTGTTGATTTATTCATGATTTATTATTTGTCTTTTATTGTTTTAATTTGTCTGTGCAGAACTTTGGAAACTGTGTGATAAAATGTGCTACAGAAATAAAATGGATTGGGGGATGTTGGCTTGTGGGCGGAGCCTCGTACGGACTCGTACTGCAGTAACTGTAAAGAGTTTGAATAGGACCTGGATGCACAGATGAATGAAGTTTGTGATTTAAATGCATCCCTCACACGGGGCACTCAGGTCTCACTCAGGTCACTCAGGTCTCTCACGGGGCACTCAGGTCTCACTCAGGTCTCACTCAGGTCTTACACGGGGCACTCAGGTCCTCACACGGGGCAGTCGGGTCTCACACGGGGCACTCAGGTCTCACACAGGTCACTCAGGTCCCTCAGGTCAGGTCTGTGGTCGTGTTAAAGTTCGTACCTGCGAGCAGCAGGAGTTTGGGCAGGTCACAGCTCAGGAACAGATTGGACGTCCCTCTGAACCAACCGTCCCAGTATTTCTCCGACTTCGACAAATCTATTCTCCACCTGTACACACTCTGAAACACACACACACACACACACACACACACACACACAGACACACACACACACGCACACACACACACAGACACACACACACACACACACACACATCACACCACACACACACACACACACACACACACACATAACACACACGCACGCACACACACACAACACACACACACACAACACGCACACACACACACACATGTTTAAAGACACCTGTACACACTCTGAGGCTTTGTTTACACAGAGGCCGGTGTGTTTGAATATGAATATTTCCCTCCTTCTGTTTTCCAAAATAACATCATCGTCATCATCGTCGTCGTCGTCGTCGTTGTCAGAGCAAAAGTGAAACTCTGGTCACACTTTTAGCGTCGGCTCCTAAAACTCCATTTATCACTTTACACACAAACACCAAAGCAGAGTTTTACACAGAGTCGTGTTCAGAGAATTACAGTTTGTGTGTAAAAGACGAGAACAAACGAAGGGAAATGTCCCCGTGTGCATGTGTGTGTGTGTGTTGTGTGTGTGTGTGTGTGTGTGTATGTGTGTGTGTGTTGTGTGTGTGTATATGTGGTGTGTGTGTGTGTGGTGTGTGTGTGTGTGTGTGTGTGTGTGTGTGTGTGTGTGTGTGTGTGTGTTTGGTGTGTGTGTATGTGTGTATATGTGTGTGTGTGTGTGTGTGTGTATATGTGTGTGTGTATGTGTGTGTGTTGTGTTGTGTGTGATGTGTGTATGTGTGTGTGTATGTGTGTTTAGTGTGTGTGTGTGGTGTATGTGTGTGTGTATGTGTGTGTATGTGTGTATGTGTGTGTGTGTGTGTGTGTATGTGTGTGTGTATGTGTGTGTGTGTGTGTGTGTATATGTGTGTGTGTATATGTGTGTGTATGTGTGTATGTGTGTATGTGTGTGTGTGTGCCTGACTCACACACGTTTAAAGACACCTGTACACACTCTGAAACATCAGCGTGTCTATAGCTGTGACCCCTGACCTCTGACCCCTGTGGATCTGTTCTAACTGTGACATTTTAAATCTCAATATTGATTTAAATAAATGCATCAAGAATCTCGGACTTCGGGTCATTGTGCAGTTCAGACTGGGAAGGATTTTCCAAAAAAGTGAGCATCAAACCTTTATGTTTGTTTTTCCAGTTTTTCCAAAACAAAACCCCAATCCGTCGTTCAACCTCAGTTACGAATTTAAAAAGTCGAGGCCAAAGTGAAAGTCTCCAACTGTTCACCAAGAAACACCTTCCACTGCAAAGACCAAGACTGATGTTTGTGTAAAACAAGAACAAGAAAGTGCAGCTCAGTCTGTTGTCTTCTGCTCCTCTACATTAAAAACAGGATTTTGTTTTGTCGTGGCTCCACATACAAAATGTTCTCTGTAAACTCGGGATGATTTAGTCAGACAAATGTTTCCTTTT